AGACGTTATTTTGCGAATGATTTCCTAATAAATTAAGAATTTCTTTCTAAAAATCAACATTTATTGCATCAACATCATTTGACCCCTTATGGTAAGATAGGTATATGCAAAATGCCGGTACGTTTAGTGTTAATAGTCGACATAGGAAAAACTCTCATATTTGATCAAGTTGTAATATTATGTTTAACTATATTTTTGTATGAAAACTCAGTGTATTGTTTAATCACTTTATATCTTATAGATTTGTAAAATAATATACATACTTTATACATATATTTTATTTTTTTTCTAATCATTTCTTTTGTTATTTGATCAGTTGTGTGAGTCACTGTAGTTTAAAAATGGCTTTAAAAAAATATCATTCTTTCATGTATTGTAAAATATAACAAATAAATGATTAATGTAAAAAAAAATAAGTTAGTTTGTGCAACTCACCACACTGATTCCATAGTTTCACATCTTGAAGATCAGTCAACCAAGCTCTTGACAGTTTATCAAATACATACCTCTGAAAGAAATAGACGTAAGAGCTTTAATCAATTAAATTGATATAATTAAAAACAACAGTCTGAATTTAAGAGAAAATATCTAAGAGTTGAAATGTTTAAAAGAAATATGTTAAAACAACAATAATAATCTAATGACAAAAACCCGATATTTTTCTTAAAACTATATTCATTTATGGACATTATTAAAAATAGAATTAATAATGGCCACCATCTATAGATTCGACTCTGTGGATAAAAATTATAATCCATTGAAAAGAAATCTCGGATTTCCATGACGTATAAAGAGAATAAATGAATGTAGTTCTCATTATATTCCGAGTTTTTGTATGATAAAAACATTGTGTTTTTCTACTGTGTTAGTTCAAACAAAAACTGACTTGTTATTCCATTATAAAACCAATAAGTTATGGGCCCAAGTATTGCTTTCGCAATAAAGTTTATAGTGAATAAAAATCACATTTTTCTTTAAAAGAAAATAATGCAAAGAAATGCAGGAATAAAACAAGATGATGGATGCAGCTCGTATTATGATCACAAAATTAAACAATGATAATTATTAATCATTGCGATACAAAAATAAATTACTATTAATAAAGAAAGGACTATGGGATACGGTCGTGAAGAAAGCAGAGCAACCAAGCGAATATTGGAAAATTCAAGATGCATGGACAAGGGTAACAATTGGTCTTCTAGTAGAAGATAATTAACTCGTGCATATTCAGTCATTAACAACGACATAAGAGGCTTGGCTATCATTACAAAAATACCACCAGAAAGAGTCATCAAGTAAGATCTTTTTATTAAAACAAGTAGTAGACGTAGTACGAAATTAGAAGAAAATGATGATATGAAGAAACATATAATTGATATGTCTAATATTCAAGATCAGTGATTGGAGAAAATATTAAGGAAAATATTTAAGAAATACACTGGAGAGTAGGCCGGAAAATGATTTATTGCTAGTTTAGTTAAAAGTAGACTGGTGGATGAGTACAGAAGAAGAATACATAATCAGATGGAAAGAAGTAACAATAATGGGAAAGCATTCAAAGTCGTTGAAAAATATAGTCGACAGATTCTTGGTACACTGATTCCAGAGCGACAAGTCATATGACCAAGAACAGGAATTTCTTTAATAAAGATTTTAATGAAATATATAATGGTTGGTGGAAAGATCGTTAGTTTCTCTAATTGGAATTTAAAAATAAAATACGTTACATATTAACTAATAACACTGTGGAACAAATTTGAACTTTTTTCGTGTCTTGCAATAATCACTAGCTATGCACCATTGGATTCTGCGGACATTTCTGAAGAGGAACACCCCCGTGAGAAGCGTGAGAACAGTTTTTCTTTCGGACAGGTTAAGAAAATGTCCGTGAAGAGCGCGTGTACGGAACTTTGGCGCCACACGGTCATCACTCACCGGCCACAGCTATGCAGGACCGTGACTACGCGCTGTGTAGACTTGGCCTCGGTCACTTCTTATATGTATATATAATGTTCAATTGTTTTATAATATCTTATAATATAATAGTTTTATAATATGAAGAAATGAACATTCGGACATTCGAAACATGGTTTAAAAAGATTCTCGCAAAACCTGAAAGAAAGTTCAAATAGAAAAAATCCCCAGCAGTAGTTATAAGGAGATAGTTATTATAAAAGTTGAAAATACATTTTTGAAATTAAATCTTATTACTGAACGAAACATTGATTCTGTAATAATAGATATAACTAATAATAGTTGTAAATCAAATTCAAAATAATAAAATATTAATTATTCAGATTTTAAATGTTTGTTTAAAATGTTTGTTTTAAATGTTTGTTTACTTGTTTTCCCTGTTGCATTATTTATACTTATTTTTATTATTTCTCAATATATCTATAAGTACCACATTCCTGTCCTACCTAAAAACCAATAAGAATAATTATTTATATCTGATGCGATACGTATTGAACATATTATAGCAGTTAATTACATTAACATTCTTAACAGACAGTTAACTACTTTTTATATACAAATCTAATATATAACTGACTTTTAATAAACAGAATAAAAAATTTAATTGACTAGTAATTAATTCGATTCCCACTTTTTTAGCTATGCATATCTCACTAAGAAACATGAAAAAAATCTAGATGATACAAATTTTAATATAATAATATATTACTACCACAGAAATATAAATAATGTCAGTTTTAAACTACAATAAAAAATCTAAATTTTTGAAAGTTGTCAGCTTGTTTGCTTACCTACGACTAAAATATTCAACCAAAAAAATCAGATATGACTTTCCAATATGTGTCTTAGTAGCTGTAATTTAAAAAATTCGTCCTAGAATTTTCATATGTTATTAATCTTATTATTATCTTCTTGGAAATACAACTTATATAAAAAGAATATTTTATGTCATTAACATCTTGTAGTTTAATGAGAAACCCAAATTACTTGTCAAATTAATATGCATATCAATTAGAAAATAAAACTTATTATATTCTTTATTACAGTTTTAAGGCAAGATGTTAAAAGATCAATATTTGTTGCACAAAGTAAATTCATTTGAAAAATACACACAGCTAAACATAAAAGTATGTAGTTAGCCTCTACAACAACATAAAAACTTTTAGTTGAATTTTATGAATTATTTTTAATTGTTATCTATTTGTATGGATTTTTATTGTTGTTGTTGTTGTTGTTGTTGTTGTTGTTGTTGTTGTTGTTGTTGTTGTTGTTGTTATCTAACAAAAATATATTAAATATTATATAATAAGACACAATGATAACAAATGCCTCCGTCAAGATAAAAGTATACTTACCAAATTAATTCTCACGTGCAGAAGAGAGTCACCGGTGGAAAAGGGGAAACAATAAACTAATTCTAAAAGAATAGAAAATATAAAACTAATATTGGTAATTAGCTAACTTTAGGAGAAATAATCACAGCCATAAGGAAAAAAAGTTAAACTACAACTGTTTCAGTGGGAATGCTTTCATGTCGGAACAAATAAACCAAAGAATAACGGGAATGTGATATTCAACCATGAGGCAGTAACGTCACGGCTTTGAAATGTACATAGATGGTATATATGATAGACGTTTTTGTTTACGACCCTGAAATATCGACAGAGCAAATTAGCTATCCAATAGGAAATTTATATCTCATGATCTGAAGATTATGTGGCCGCCTTATCTTTATCGGTTCAGAGTAAAATTATAATTACATAATATTATAGTAATAATAAGTGTACGCGTCTGTAACACTGATTGTAACTTGATTATAATCTTATGATAATTTTTAATATCAACTGTAATGTTATGTATTTATTTGTAAATACAATAACGCTTGCTTAAACACTAAAATCTGTACGGGATTTAAAATTTAAAATTAAAAATTTTAGATTTTAAATTTTCAAGATTTATCCCCACGCTTCTCACATCATTTAGCGCCTCAAACTCAACGAAATCTTACTTCAACTGGCAATGATAGAGAATGAATATAATAAAAAAAAGGAAACAGACACATATCAATAGTATGCCGCGATAAAAAAATTTCATTTTCTATAGTTTTCATCTTATTTTTGTAATCGTAGCACCAAGGGATAGTTGAGATTCTTTTGATTAAAATGAGCCCGCACAAGACGTAAATCGGACTAATTTTACCAGTTTAATACTAAATGTGGCGGTACTTTACACCTACTTATTCTTACCATGAGCGGTCATTTGACATTTTTTACAGATAATTGGTTTCTCCTTCGTACATTTCCCGCAGACAAATCTTTTACAAATTATACACTTATAATTTCCCTACCTGAATTCGCTTCACTTATTTTTCAAATTCTTTCCAATAACTGTCTCACTGACCGTGCCGACTTATTGAGGGTTGCAGTAAAACACAAGGCCAATTAAATGTAACGGAAATTGTCACAATGTAACAATGAAACTGTCGTGTATTATCACTCCTTGTCGAATTTGATTTCTTCTGGCTCTGATCTTTACTCTCTGACTCTCAATATACGACTGCATTTCTATTTCGTTTAGCTATAGAGAACTAATTGGAGGGAGTGTTGCTTGTGAATCTCTGATAAGAGTCCTTTCTGTTTATGCGTTACGTCGTATGGACCCGATCGGGTCGTCCAAGCGCTCACGCGGAGACCAAACACACATGTCAGGTTCAGATAAATGAAACTTTCACTTGAAAAGCGTATCTGAAAAAACGTATCTTTAGAACTAAGGTTCCAGTAGAAGAACTGCCGAAAATTACGTAAACTTCGTATGGGGTCAAATGACTTTTCGTGGTACGTAAGGTAGGTAAAGAATTTTTCTCGGTAAAAAATAAGCTACGAGAAAAACGGAAAGCGAGAAATTGAATAATCAGATGATATAAGAATTTACAGAAAGTCAAATGAGCGAAAGAAATAACAATAAATGTATGATTTTAAAGTAAATTTTGAAAGGGGTCATTTGACCCCACTTGGTACGTTTAGTGTCTATACAAATAACAATATTAAATACATAAATGATCCAAGTCGATAAAACTAGTTCAATTTGCGTTGTGTTTAGATTCACTTTAATCAAAAGAATATCAGCAATTCACTAGTATTACATTTATAAAGGTAAGATGAAAATGATTGAAATTGAAATTTTTTTTATTGCATGATTATTTTTTTCAGTCGCGGCATATCTTTGAATTTCATTACTGACTTCCGAATTAAGTGAAATTTAAGCGGGCATTATTGTAATATTTATGTAATTGTGATTTTTTACGTATGCGAATGAAATTTCGAAAGTGGCAATCGTATCATGAATATAATATAGAAATTTATGTAGTTAAATTAGGATTCAATGTGCCGTAATTGAAGGAACAGCATTCTTTTTCATCGATTTTTTACAAAAGATAATAATCGCTGCATAACATGGCTACGTAGTTAACTGTGGTTTAAATCAAGGATATCGAACTGGGACCTCACAAACTCTCTAGAGTTTTTCTCCTCACGATCTGGTCGATGGAAGTTACTTTGTTTCGCGTATCTGTATTGCACACCACCTATTTAGGACTATGCTGTGCAGCATAAAGTTTTGAGGGGCAGAGAGGTAAGTCGAACTTCCGCACAGTGCGGTCGCTCGTGGACAAAACCCAAAACATCGACTATTTATATAATCAAAATTGTACGTTATTTATTTGTTTCTAAGTAGTTCTGGCTATACAAAATGATTTTTATTACAACAATTAATGAATAATAACCACTGTTTAGCAGGGTCAAACATGGCCTTACAGACATTTCGGATTTTATATTTTTACCTTATATTCATTGTTAAATAGATTTATACAGATTTTTAACAATGGAAAGTATTCTCCGAAGCATGTAGATCTGATTTCACATAATTTTGTGCAAATAAATTCCAGTCCTCTATTTATATAATATTGAAATCGAAACGCAAAAGATCCAGTAGTTTATATTAGCCTACAAAACAGAGAACGTTCGAGAACATTATGGTTTTCATGGTTTTCAATTCTGTGGATATTATATTCTAAGACCCCGTTAACATCACATGATCTTAATGTAATAATTATTGTAATTGGCCTGGTAACCGACCGCTATGAAAAAGAAAAAATAAAGGCTGATCGTAAAGAAGTTTTGCCCTGTGTGGACGTATCACGGCAGAATAGTAAAAGGGAAAGCGAATTTATCGTTGTATTCCTTTCAGTTTTAGAAAAAGTTCATTGTAACGTTTTATTTTGTGTGAATAAAGTTCACTCTTACTTTAAAAGTTGTTCATTTTACAGCTGCATAATGTTTGTACGTGTGAGTTGAACAAATTCGAACGTATAAAAAGAAAGCGTGAATTTATATGATTTATATTTCATTGCGTGTCAATCCGTGATCTTGCAAATCTGTAATGTACACTATTTCTTTAAAATTGTTATTTAATTTACCTATTATTAAATAAATTCCATAGTATTGTTTAAAATAGTCGCGAATAGTGCTTGGTCCTGATCCGCGATAACCACAAATAGTATTTTCTATTGAATTCTTATCTACTAAGCCTTCATACTTGAAGCCATTTTCATACAAATACCCATATTCTACATAAACAACATTAACAATACATTAACAATGTCTATTGCTAACTCTCTACCTACAGGTTGTTTTAAAAGTACATGTCATAAACACTACAACATGATTCTACACCTTTAAAACTAACGCAGAACACTGTATACTCTTCATTTAATGAAAAAGGATGTAAGAAAGTGCCTTCAAACTTCATCGTAACCTTAAAGAAAGGGGTTAAAATTTGGAATCCCTGGATCGTGTTCTACTTATTGCGGAAGTAAAGAATCTGAAAGAAACTCTGGATCGGAAATGAAAAGTTTATATGCAAATTGCTGTTGAAATTTTCCTGGGAGAGTATAGAAATCTGATATCGAGTGTCTTTTTCCAGTCCGGGAATACAATAACTGTGTTCTGTTATGGTGCAAAATGACAAAATATGACGTAATTTGATGCAGGATGAAGTCCTATGTTATCGAGGCCAGTCATTTATTGTGTAACAGAAAATGACAATGGATGTCGCTTTCCTTTATTGTCCCATGACAGTCCGTTGAATACCATTGCTATCGGCGCAAATCGTCAATGTTGGATGCTCGTATCTTTGTAATAATTTATGTGATAAAACTAATTTGCATTGGTTTGAATACCTTTGAATGTTAGTTACACAAATATGGAATAAAAACGGCAAGGTTTTATTAAAGAATTTTATTGTGACTTTTATAGAACTTTTCGTGATTAACACCGTTGTATGTAGCAGTTCACAACCTATAACATTTGTCTAATATATTTCTTCGTATTATTCATATTTTTCAAAATAATCAGATATTTTTCAATTCGGTTCCAATACATCCTTATTAATATAAAACTTATTTTTATCTCGGTAGAAATAGTATTTATTACATTTTATATTTTCAAATGGTATATATGTTTTTAATTAAAACGCAAACTGTTTGAATTCAACTGACAGTTGCCACCCCCTAGTGACGGTTAAGACCGAATGGTTCCATCACAAACACCCACGGATGACAATGCCTTCTTGCAACGATCGCGAATCAAAACAACTGGCAGTTGAATTCATAACTATAGCGAAAAATGGCAGCGAGCGGCGGTCGTTGAAACCGTCATGTGTATCAGTAGATCTAGACAGATACATATGTGCTCATCCTATATGAGACAAACATGTTTTATTTTTAATTATTTCAACTTATTCAAATTTTAGAGATAATGTAGCAAGCGAAACGAGAGTAGTAACGATGACTACGTAATTTCTAATCGCGAGACAGAAAATCATATTGTGTCCGCGGTCTATACATATCGTAAATCTGTGACATTAAATACTTTCGTTTAAATTTTACATGCCCGCTATTCGTTATTTATTGCATCGCGGCGAAGGACGTTTCTAATCAAATGGTCGATGCAATTTAATTTTACATTTCCTACTATGATTACTGCTATTAGAATTCAATAGTGCAGTGTATAATATCATCTAACGTCGTAGGAAATATATTCGATTATTCATAGTGATTTTGCAGGTCTTTAAAGTTAGACCGTTTTCCTCTTCGTGACGAACGATTTCCTTCTACACGTAGGAAGATATTTGGCAAGTGTATTTTTGTGTCTGCGAAAAAACGTTTGTCTCATATTTACAAAGCTACTTTACAAAATTTGTATCTCCTATGTGGGTGTATCGTTGTGTTTCGTTACATGTTAATCAATATCTTTTTCTTAGACTTTAACCTATTAATATAAATAGACATGTATGAAAAATATAAGATTTAAAGAAAAGTGTTTTATTATATAAAAATATTTAACTTAAAACAATTTTTTGTAAAATCTAGATAAAAACTTTTATGTTGATGTACATACCTTTATGCTTAATCCAGTATATTTTTTAAATGAACTTAGTTTGCGTAATAAATTTTAATCTGCGAATATCTTGTTTTAAAACTTATTATATTTCTTATTACAGTTTTATCTTCTAAGTAATATGTTCAATAATTTCATGAAAAACGTGGATTCCTCTTTAGGCTACATGCTATTAAATAATTTAAAACATTCTTTTTATAAAATCAAAAAATTATGAATATCGTTTACTTTCTTCAGAAAATATTCATACTTACCCATCAAATGCAGAAATGTTTTCTTTACTTTAGACCATCAGTGGGCCCTTTGTTGTAGAATGTTTAAGAAACTTTGTGTTTATATTACATACTATTATATATTCAATTTTATATATTTCCATCAATTTATTAATTTCTTATTTTGGATATCATAAAGTTTCTATACAACTATTCTTTTTATTTTCTTATGTTAGTAATACTCAATTAAATTTCCTAGTGATTTTTAAGTGATATTTCTATTTTCTTATATATTTTACTTTTTAATGTTGGTACATAATATCTTGTAAATGATATGAATACTATTATTCTATCATTTTAACTTTAACTTATGAACTTTCTACATTGATTGAATTCCGCAAACTATAAACATTCAGCATTGTTTAAGCAGTTTTTGTGTCATTTTTTATATTTAATTTATGCAAAGATTTGAAAAAAGGTTGTCAAATTGTAATTAGTTGCATATACGGATGTGTCGTTTAGGTGTGTACGGTGGAATATGTCGTAAAGTATTGAAGTTACAAAATAATGTTCTTAGAAAAGTTGTTTGGTATGAAAAGACACATTATGGGGTAGTAATGTTATTTTCATAGCTAGATAAGTGGAGGAGATATCAAGGTCAAGTTAGTTTTTTTAAATAGAATCATACATTCTTTTTCGATAATGTAATAGTGGGTTTAGCGCATCGAAATATAAAAAAATTATTCGAATGGCATTAATGATCGATTTTAATTTTCACTATTCACTATTTAAGTTTTAATAACAAGAATTTGCCAATAGTTCCTTTATTTACCTTTCCCTTCAACGTAACCACCATCATTAATAATGCATGTTTGTAGTCTTTTTAGTAAGTTTTTTTTCAACATTTTTTAATCTTTGAACTTTTTCATATATGTCTGTAATTTGCCTACGTAATTCGTTGACATCTTCAATTACTGTCACAAAAACTTTCTATTTTAAATAACCCCATAGAAAAATGTTTGCTTTCTGACTACATTTGAGAATTCTGATGGCAAATCATGCTGTTTGTGTGAAAAATACACTTATCTATTATCATCAGAGGGCAAACAAAATTAGGATCATTTGCGACATTGTCGAAGAGAATCCTATCTGAGGTCCAAAATCTCAAGGGAGATTTCACAGATTTAACTGAGAGTGCGTGAATAGATATTCTGGAATAAGTAGTAATAACTGTCTATACATTAATTTCGGCATTTTCTGTTTACTTATGTTGTCGACTTTATTGTTGTTGACACTAGCCGTTTCTTGAAATAAGTGGACAGTTACGGATAGTTGACACTGCTGGTTTCGGTTTGTCAGGCTGTCGCTCATGGAATTTATTTCTAACTTCAGTGTATGGTAAATAATTATCACCTCTTAGGCGAACATGTTCTACTTCTTAGCACAGTGAAATGCATTTTCACTAATTGAACGTATTGTTAAAACGTTAAAAACCACACACACACACACACACACAATACGTAGGAACAGAGGTGGTCGACGATATTGTAACGAAAACTGACACGCAGAGAGAGTCCAGGATCAGCATGGTCAGCGGTCTCCCGCCGACCCCATCCCGTGCCAAGTTAAAACATTACAAAAGCCGTGAGTTGGAGATATAATAAAGACCAGTTCATTTTCATCAACCAAAGATTCGTGACTTTTAGATTTACTATCTATTCGAATAAATGAGAGTGATTAAGAGGGAGTTTTTTCTATTTTATTCAAAACGGAAATAATACCTGTAATAATTTGGCGACCTTGTCAGGATAGAGAGATTTGTTGTTTAAAAGTGATCGTTTTCAAATTTCCGCGAAATTGAAACTACGCAAGGTCGAGAATCAACGAAGGGACTATATGTGACCCGTTTGCTGAGAAACTGTCAATTGTGACGACTACGAGAACTACAAGATGAACAGGGACTACGAGAGCCTGATAGCAAAGCTACGCCGCCCTACAAAGAAACAGATTCCAAGGTAAGCAAATCGAACACGGTTCTCGACTCCAATAGTAGCGACTGCAATAGCGAATCCATGAATTCGGTTATTGAAATGGATTCCAAATTTGACAAATAAAAAAAAGCTATAGCCGCATTAAACGCATCGATCGAAGGATTAGGAGTTACGATACAAAGACACCAAGAAATGCTACAAGGAGATATAGTAAAATTAGGAGACGAGAATAAAAAGCGGTCTGAAAAAGTACGCAATTTAGCATTCAGAATAGGACAGTTGGCAACGGATGACGAATCCATAAGTATAAACCACACCACGTTCGAACATTTCGATCAAGAAGATAACGTTAGCAGTTTCCTAAGACGATTCATGAGACAGCACATACCGGTGCGTCGCGAAACTACAGAACTTGCTGCTCAAGCCGACGAGTCAACACTGCGGGAATACGTATACCAGCCAAAGATATTGTCCGCACGATCTGTGCGTTAAACGGAAGAAATGATATAGGAGTAGAGGATTTTATCAAAGCGATAAAGGGGGCACGCGCGCAGTGTAATGAAGAAGATCTTTTACTAGGATTAATTATAGCAGAAAAGATAACAAATCAGGCAGAAATTATAGGAAAATTTACGTTTGCACGTTTCCCCACCTGTAATTATTTCAAATACAGGATGTAAATTATATAACATTAAACAAGGATTTACCGAATTAATATAATCGTATCGTCAACAGTTGAATGAATTGCGATATGCCATTCACAATAAATACCCGCGACCCATATCTCGTAAAATTACCTTAGAGGTGGAAGAAGAAACATGAACGTGTCAAGCACAAAATCATGTATCAACGCGACCAGATTCACAGCCACCGTTACGTTTTCGGCCAGCACAGATGACACCTCGATCATATCAACCGTCGTCATCTCACCAAGACAAAATCCACTCGCTAGTAACCGCGTACCAAATCATGCACAACTACTGCAACAACGGCTCCAATTAAAATGCACAATTTGTGGGAGATTAGGGCATGCACGTGATCAATGCTTTAAGCGAAATTTTCAAGTACCACATATCGGCAAATTATCACTGCGAATAAACAACCTGAAAAAAAGCATAATAATGACGGAGACGGAATATCAAGAATATTTAGAACAAGCGGGCAATTCGGATGACTTTTACTTGACACAGGAGCAGGCGTAAACCTGATCAAAAACGGTTTGTTCAACAAAACAATAGAAAAAAGAGACGAAATCAAATAATTTAAGATGTATAATGATAGACATACATCAACAGAATCAGTTACATTATACTCATTGGGACAGTATCATAAATTTCATATTGTACCGGACGATTTTTCAATCTACGAGTACAGAATTGATAGGATTGCCTTACCTGAATTTTTACAGGTTCTCTATCGATAATGATTCGCTTACGCTAAATGATTTTTGTATCCCATTACGAGACGAACTCCTCATACTAACGCGATAAATAACGACAGAAGAAATTAGAACAATGAATGAAACGATCAAAGTTAATTTCATTAATCCGGAATTAACAGACATCCGAACCACCGAATCGAAAGTAAGACTTAAATCGGGTATTCCAGACTTACCTCCGCGCCTACGTCAGCTTCGAGAAAAAATACGCGTTTCCCATATCGAAGAAAGTTATTGACAGCCAATAGAAAAAATTATTTTCAGTTATTTCGTCATATTTACCTTAGAAGATGATCTGCTACCATGTACTGTGCTCACCGTGCACGAAGTGTTGTAAAAAAACCCGCGACCGATAAATGTAAAATCATATCGACTTCCAGAATACCATAAAATCGAGACTGAAAAACAAATGAGAGAATTATTAGTTAAAGGCGTCATCGAAGAATCAGACTCACCATATAATTCATCCTTAAGGGGGGAAATACCTTTAGAACCTTACAAAATCGCAATATTTTTTTTTTCTATAAGATGTTAGTATAACATCTTAAAAGTATGGTGCCAAAGTTTTAAAGCGAATTTCGGAGCCCTTCTGATGCTATCGGGACTCATAAGCGGTAGCCCACCGCAGGTATATATTCACGCGCTAGAAGCGGAGGACCCGCCTTTCATAATTCCCTCCTCTCAATCATTGTAAACATTGTTACTTTAGATTGTTTGCGTTATACAAGAAAAATTATCATACAGCCGGCTTCGAAATATTAAAAAAACAAAAAACCTCGGTGGAAAAGGCAAGCTGACTGATGCGCTTATCAGGAAACTCACCGCATACTATGGCTTAGCCATACGAAGAAATATTCATAGTGTGGAAAATATGAAGAAAGCTATAATGGCCTCGTATTATCACTTATGCTCCACCAAAGAAAATCCAAGGCACAAATACTACCCGATAGGAAATGACAGCTGGTGCAAGTGGCAGAAAGCTCTAGCTACAGGAGCAAATTTGGACCTTATAGAACATCCTGCACTACTGCATCCAGACGTGCTTATCTCAAAACTACATTTTCGAAATCGGTGGAATCAATAACTCAAAAACTACTTAATCAATCTTGCTGAAATTTTGCACACATATCTATAATAATATTGTCTTATATATGAACCTAGAGATATGAAATAAATTGTAAATAAAAGTATCTTTTTATTGCAAAATATAGCGAAAATTTCATGTAAAATTCAAAGTTTCTGTTTAAAAGTGTGTCATTTTTTCAATTTTTAATATTTTTCATTTTCTGTAGGTTCATCTACAACCTGTAAATGTTAGTTATCGAAATATGTCTTGCTGGTTTGCTTCAAATCAATGTAGCCAATACTAGAGCTTACACCATTTAATAAGTCGCACCACAACCTTCCCGAAAAACAGGGACATAACTCCGCCATTTTTAAATATTTTGAAAAACAAAAAATGCGTTGTAATGGAGAAAGAATATAATAAATGATAACCAAAGTTTCAAAAATGTAAAACAACCCTTTCCTTTACAAAAAAATTCATAAAGATAAGCTCGTTTTCATCTGTCTAAAGGGATTTCCTCCCTTAAGATCGTAGCAAAAAAAGAAGACGCTTCAGGAGTAAGAAAATGGAGGACTGTTATTGATTTTAAGAAGTTACACGAATTAAACGACCAGGATGCCTACCCACTGCCACATATTGAAGACATTTTGGATCAGTTGAGCGAGGCAAAATTCTTTTCAGCATTAGACCTTCGTTCTGGATTTCACCAAATTCCAATCCACTCTGCATCAAAGAAGTACACGGTACTGTCAATCTCAGACGGACACCTCCATTACAACCTTATGCTGTTCGGACTAAAGAACACGCTCTCCACCTTTCAACGAATGAAAGCCCGTAACGGATTAATCAGAAAATATTGCTTCGTGTACCTGGACGATATTGTAATATTCGGATTCGCAATCGATGAACATAACAGGAATCTTGCAATAGTGTTTCAGCGACTAAGAGAGACAGGTTTAAAATTACAACCAGACAACTGCGAATATCTCCAACCGAAACTGGAATATTTCGGCCACATCATCACCCCTGAAGCAGTAAAGCCGAACAACAAGAAAATTCAAGCCGTTGAATGCTTCAGAATCCTTCGCAATCAACCTGAGGTTAAATGATTTTTAGGTCTCGTCGGATATTACTTTTGTTCCATAGTGTTATCGAAAATTCATCCGTGATTTCGTCAAACTTGCTAAACTCCTTAGGGAATTAACAAAAACTGAAACTCCTTTTTATTGGACCGATATTTGCCAAACCACTTTTGACATGTTAGAATAAATGCTTTACGAACATTCAGTCTTGAGATATTCCGATTTTTCCAAAGATTTCACACCGATTTCAACCGATGCATCTAATGAAGGGCTCGGAGCGATATTATCCCAGGAAAAGCACCCCTGTTGCTATATATCCAGAACATTGAACACGGCCAAACAAAATTACATCACAACGAAAAAGAAACTTTTGGCTATTGTATGAGCAGTTAAAAGGTTAAAATAATCATCATAAAATCATTACCGATCGCAGTGCATTAAAGTGGCTTTTCAACATGAAAGAACCTTCCTCACGACTTTTACAGTGGAGACTGAAGCTTGAAGAATATGATTACACGATAGAACATTGTAAAGGAAAAGCCGCTGATGCATTATCTCGTATTCTACTACTCACAGTGATAGACGCCGAGCGACTCCTCAACCAGGCAAAAGACAATTCGGAGGCCGATAATTTCGAAAATTTCATTTCTGCCGCCGGACTTAAAAATTTAATTGACAACACATTTAGATCCACAATGGAAACAGCCGAATCAAACAAAGATTCACCTATATCCGGTATTTCTTCCACTTTTGGAAACGACTTCGAAGAATGGCAGACCCATTCCCAATTTCAGCTCACAAAAGAAGTAAACGCTTGCGGAAACAACTGGATACGAGTGTTTAAACAAAACCTTGAACCCTATACGGGAAATCGATGGCTATTAAGACTAAAAGAAATGATTGACAAAAGGAGAAACAGAACCCTAAAAACAATATGACTTAAACTCTCGAGTGACTTGTATACCGAGTCCGAAAAATGTATGATATATCAATCTTTACAGTTTTACATTTTAACATCAATCTTTATCTATCTTTAAGAAGAGGTCGTGATAACCGATACACCCATAAAACCCTACGAAAAATTAGCTTTGGACATCTTTGGACCACTGCCACGAACTGATAAAGGAAATAAATACATTCTATCTGTGCAAGACGTTCTAACCAAATATCTAATACTTCTTCCACTTAAATTTCAAAACATAGAAGCAATTATACACGTGGTCTTGAAACATTACATTTACATCTTCTTCTCGCCTAAACACATATCGACTGACCAAGGAACCAACTTTGTTAGCCAAATGATGCAACGATTCGAAGAAGCATTAAAAATCCGACACATACGCACTACTGTATTTCACCCTCAAAGCAACGGATCATTAGAACGGACTCATGCTGTGGTAAAAGACTGTATCTGTACCAGTCTAGATGGACGGGATCACAACTGGGATGAAAGATTGACCATAATATGTATGGGATACAATATTGCTGTACATGAAGGCACTGATTTCACACCATTTGAACTTACATTCGGAAAAAAGGCTAATTTACCCTCGTAAAATTAGCCGTAACGCCAATATTTATAAAAGATTGCCTAATAAGAATGTGGAGGCAACACCACAATGCATACCTGGAAGCAGCACGACAATTAAAGAAAGAAAGCAAAAACATAAGAAGTTGCAAGACGCACAAATCATTAGGATCCAAGCCATATTTAACATAGGAGACCGAGTAATGTTGCACAACTATAGAACAAAAAGCAAAATAGACGCAGAATGGTTGGGACCACCCAAGATACTGGAAGTTCATACCCCAACCTACGTCATTTCATTAAACGACGAAAACCTATTTAACTTCGGTTATATTCAAACCACGAATGGATATCAGCAACTTCCAGTACATAGCTTTACACATTTCATGCCCAGACACTTCAGCTGTAACCACCATACACTTAAATGGATTTAACTTTATACAGATTCGTCCAGGATACATCGGCAGAACCTCAACCACGACACTTTACTCTAACGACGACGAAACAGATTACCGCGAAATTCAACTGCGATTAGAATTGGCAAACATGACAATATCTATGCTGAACTCTATCTCTAAGCATACTTAAAATGACATGATAATGGTTTACTGTGAATGTAGACAAAATGCAGTAGAGACTCGATTGCTTTATAAAGAAAGGTACCCTGAGCAAACTGAGACTATCATTATAGGTGTTTAAAAAAGAGTGGTTCCATTTAAAAAAGTCAAGGTGATAAGGTAACCGTCATGTTGTTACCACATTATTGTTTCCTTCGGTAACGAAGTGGAAATCGTAAACAACAGCACAAAGTACGAGTACGTGACATATTGATAAACACTGTCAGATAAACACTGCCATCTTCGCGAATGGACACTCGGAGATATTCACTTTACGCAGATCAAACTATTGCTAATATCTCATTAACTATCAAGTTTAGGACATATGAAGGTCAACAATTTTATACTCAGAAAAAAAATGAAAGAAAAATAGAAATATTTTTGGTATCCTGTGAGTCTCATTAAACCATTTAATTTTGTCCTGAAGATATTTGACGTATCTTTAAAAACAACAAAGATATTTCAGGTGGTAACGTTAGGTGACTCACTCTGTATATACTGCTGACGTGTATTTCTCGTTGATCAATTAATGCTTCCACTAACACTCATTACCATATTTCTTACTCTAACTGAACATGTTGTAACGCTTTCAATTGAAAGTTTACTTAAATAACAAATCAAGACTAAACTCCTATACGATGAATACTGTGCTACGACTTCAATATTTATCAACGTACTGCTCACAACATACTACAAGCACATAAGTATAGATAAACATTGTAGACATACGTGTATCGGGCAAGATGAGGCAAAACACAAAATATTTCATCTACAATGTCAAACCACTGGCACTAGGTGGCAAGACATCTCGTCAAAAGTGTTAATCGGCTAGTATCAGGTCGTGAAATATATCGTCCAGGAATACGAAGGGGTTAATACCACAAATTTTACGGTTTTTTTTAAATCATACTTTTATCAACGTATTTATGAGATTTTTTGAACCAAAATAATATTAAACATGATGTAATTTTACGATGTGAGATGTTTGAACGGATTATACTACTGGAAAATAAAGTAATATATTATTTTGAAAAATAAAATATTAGAGGTAACCATAAGTAATATTATTTCTTGAAACTAAAATTTATATACATTTTTTAAATCATACAAATATCTACGACATTTTGCCATCTAGTTACGAGCTTTTATATGCCCCTGTTATAAAAATCCCTTAATTTTTCATTAAAATACTTTTGTATTCCGTTTTTCACATCTTTGTAATTCGAACATTTTTTACTATCTAAAAAATGTTGAAGAGATCTAAATAACTGAAAAACGTGTGAGGCTAAAACAGGAGATTACGACGGATGTACTAAAGTTCCTCAGGTCACTTCTCTGATTTTTTACTGCGTGACTTTTACAGTGTGTGGTCTTGCATTGCTGTGCTGCAGTATAACACCCTTTCTGTTAACCACAGCAGGATGTTTTTCTTCAATTGCACTGCTTAATAATGTTAATTGTTCTCAATAAAGGCTGACAGTACCAGAACTTCTGGTCTTTAAAAACCTTTAAAATGAATGAATAACAAGATGAGTAACTTTCTACAAATTCGACCATACACATAACACACTTTATTCGCATGAATATTCGGGTTTGAAGTTGCCATCAGTGTATCACTTGGAAGTAATCATTATGTTTCCACTTTGGACTATCACACATAACCCATTTTTTGTTCCCAGTAACTAAACGATTCAAAAAAGGCTTTGCTTCGTGTCTAACGAATAACGAAGAATTGCATATAGCAACTCTTGTTGCTCAATTGTCTGCACTAAGGATATACGGGATACATTTTCCACATCACCACACATTTCCAATTTTCTAAAAGAGTTTATAAACTGTTGATCACAGTATAGCAAGCATTTCTGCAATCTCTCCAATTGTTAAACTCAGATCTTTTTCAACCACTGCCTTCAATTCGTCGTCTTTAAGAAGAGATGTACTTCCTGATCTCTAATCGCCTTGTAAGACGAAAGCCTAGTTCCAATATTTTGTGAGTCATCATTGACATTTCCGGACACTTAGGATTTCCAGATAAATACTATTAATATTGATTGTGATGGCGATACCATTGTTTCCTTTATGGAATTCATAAAGCATACAATGTCGGATATGCTTCTTCATCACTTTATCTGAACCTATTCTTTTTAAATAATATTGAATCTGCCAGTAAACTTAACTAGCTTATAAGGACAGTGTTTTAGGTCACATTATCAATTTGATTCACATGAAATTTGCAACATTCATTCAATGATAAACACCAGGCCATACGACATTGCTAATGTGTATCCCAAATAATTCTAAGGGTACTGCAAATGAGACAGAACCTATAGTTTTCTTTCCTGATTTCTCTTCACATAACGTTTTGTATATTTAAATTTACAAACTGGAAACGATAAACAAAAATACATGTATGGTTTGTAATTTATAATTCATAATTTATAGTTTATGATCCTATACTCAGTGCACCAAAATTAGCAACTGAACTCTTAAACAAGACTGGGAAGGAGGTACATTCCCAAACGATCCACAAAGCCTTAAAAAATAGTGGCTACAATCGAAAAGTGGTTAGGAAGAAACCATATGTGATTGAACAGAATCGAAGAAGAGATTGAATTTTGCTAAAGTATTTCTTTTGAAGGAAGAAACATAGTGAAACGACGTCATTTTTACCGATGAAAGTAAATTTAAGTAAAATTTAAAAAAGATAAGAAGAAAGTAAAATTAAGGATGATGTGGCGGAAAAAAAATGAAGAATTTAAATTTAAAAATCTAAGGCCGACTGTAAAGCACGGAGGTGGCAGTGTACTTGTCTGGGACTGTATATCTACAATACATTTGAACCGGATGAATTAGTTTTCATTGCCAATATTATGGACATAAATGTGTATTTGAACATATTAAAAAATAATTTACACAAATGGGAATTTTAAACACATTTAAATTTTACTAGAACAATGACCGACGTATCAGAAAAACACCAATATCTTCCAAAGAAATGTTGAAACATCGATTAAAAGAAGAAGGGGACAATATAAGTACTGAATATTTTTAAAAAATCATTAGCAATATGCCACAACGTTTAAAAGAAGTGATACAGCAGGATGGCTACCCAACAAGATATTAAAACACATATTATTACAAAAAGTAACCTAAAAATGAATCGTTTCTAGAAGTGTCCGAATATTAAAGTAACGCGAAAATCGGACAGTGTTTTATTTAAATTGTGTTAGGATGTAACAAAATAAAAATTTCATAGTGTCCGAATATTAAAGTTACTCTTTGTATATTCGAATCTTAGTCGAACAGATTCGAAATTTGTATGAATATCATACCAGAAATTCTCTGATTTTTCTAATTTCTCATTATTATTTTTACTTTTAAAATCAATTATGCTGTCTTTTAATGCATAATTTACTTTAACATGCATAACTATAATTTCATAATCTATCGGATTTTCATATGGACACATATCCTGTAATCTAATTGCAGCTTTCAATGTCAATAATAACAACCACTAAACTCCCTTCTTACTTTTCAATTGATGAATGTGCGATGTACTATCACGTACCATTTTATAATTAAAAGTATACACATTACAAACAAAAAAATTGTCGGTAGTGTGGGATTTAGAATTCAAAGTGTGGCAAGGAGTAATATTTTCTTTGGAGCGTTTTAAAATACGATTTATTTTACAGCACTCTCACGTAATAATATTTATTTTCATAACTCTTTCCCTTACTCCCTTACTTTCTGCTGACCAAAAACCTCATCTTATTGTGCTCGCTTATTATATCGTGCTGATATAATATATGATAAATTGATTATAGATGTAGAAACACGATGGAATTGTACATATCAGATGTTTGAGAGATTAATAGAATAGAAGTGGGCTATAATTTTAACTTTAGCATTAGTCAAATCTAATTTTGAATTATTAACAGAATAAGAGTGGAACACTCTTAGTATTATGCAATCCCCAGTACGCACATTTTTTTTAATTACACGAGAAATTAGTAGCGAAAAAACGTAAATTCGTCTAAAATAATAGCACTTACAAAACAAATAATTATAGCCACTAGGTGGTTCTTATAAAGTTCCTTACCCTAAATACGAATCCGAAAACCACATTGCTTCAGTTTTCGAAAAAAATGGGTTTTTGTAAAAACAGACGAATTTTTCAGAAAAATAAGTATTACGTAAAAACTAAAAACGATAGGCAATTAAAATTTGTCGTAAACAATAGAAGAGAGTTACCCGAATATGTAGCTATAAAAATTTCAAATATTGCGTATCATTAAATTTTTGTAAATGATGACCAAAGTTTAAAAAAGGATAGATGCGCGTACTTTGTACACACTTCTGTTACATTTCTATGAAAAGTGGGTTGGCCAGCACGAATTTGCTGTGCACCATTGGATTTTGCAGATATTTCTGAATTCAGCTTGGATTAGCATTATGATTGCCACGCAAAATTTTAGAGACATTTGGAGTTAATGATACAAGTTCAGATCTATTACAAGGAATAAGGCATGATGTTTATAAGAGTAACACTTTTGATGATACATTTGAAGATATCACAGGTACTACCCAGGAAGGAAATGTCTACTTTAATACTGTGTTAGTGGCATTACATCTCATTAAATCTGTTCTTCTGAACACCCATCCAACAACATGCGACATTCATGTGCTGTTTGATTTTTATTCAACATTTTTACACACGCAGTGCCCAATAAAACTTCTGAATCGCGTGGTATTGCACAAGCATTTTTAAGCACCACATTAATTTGTGCATTTTGTTACGCGTATTTTTGACAAGCTTTTGAGTAATAATGTACACTAATATTATGGGTATGGATGGTTGAGCGTGCCTGTAGATGGCCAGTGTCACCTCGCGACGGGATTGCGTCGGTTTGTTTGGAAATAAGGGTGATTGCGTGTGAAAAAGTCGGGTACCTGGAAGCGCGAAAGAAGAGTGTTTGGGACCGAGCGACTGGAACCATGAGAATGAAACGTGTACATAACCGCGTGAATTTTGGCTACGGACGAATCGTTAGGATGCGAGTGAGAGGAATGCAAGTGAGAAGGTTGAAACTGTAAGAAAGAAAGAACGAATGAGTGTGCTGTAAAAGCAAGTGAGAATGCGTGGGTGAGTGTTTTTTGGGTGCGATTAACAAGCGAGTGGTTGTATGATTAACGTAACGATAGTATTTATGTGTGATCTCTGTTATAGTTTTAGTTAATAAATTATTGTTGTTATTAACTTCGAGTGTTTTGAACATTCTCCACCACCAACACCAAACTTCCTACAATATTGAATCTCATTCTTTCATTGGCTATTTGAGTACTTCCAGTGCCTTGTAATGCATTAATGTTCGTTCTTTAAAATTCCGTATACTCAGCGGTGAGTCCTTAATAATTTCAGTCAACTCTAATAAGGATTTGATGTATGTATAAATGATTGGCCTCGGCCTATCACACCTTAACTTTAAGAGGTCCCACTAATACATATAAAGAATTTTTTAAAACGGGGAATTTTTGAACGGCTGAAATTCTACAGTCATTATGAATTAAAGACTAAAAACATTGTGGAAGTTATATCAATCGATCAGATTGCCATCAAAAGGGCAAATTTTTATTTTCGGTGTTACGTCCCAGATCGGGCTTTAGCG